GATCGATTGTTGAAGCTAAATGTCATTGAGGAGTCAGACAGTGCCTGGTCCTCGCCTGTGGTGTTGGTCCAAAAGCCTGGCAAAGTGCGGCTCTGCTTAGACAGTAGAAAGGTGAATGCAGTTACGCAAAAGGATGCATATCCTTTACCACAAATTGATGGCATACTAAGCAGGCTACCAAAGGCAATGTTCATAACGAGTTTGGATTTAAAAGATGCTTTTTGGCAAATCCCACTCGATACCGCATCTCGCGACAAAACCGCTTTTACCATACCAGGTAGACCTTTATATCATTTTAAGGTCATGCCATTCGGGCTCTGCAATGCTCCTCAAACCATGTCCCGCTTGATGGACAAGGTAATACCAGCGGCTCTGAGGAATGAGGTGTTTATATATCTGGATGATTTATTAGTGGTTTCAGATAGTTTTCAGGCGCATATGCATGTTTTGCGCAAAGTAGCTTCTTGCATACAGGCAGCCGGCTTGACAATAAATTGCGAAAAAAGCAATTTCTGTATGCGTAGCGTAAAATACTTAGGCCACATAATCGGAGAGGGAGTAATACGCACAGACCCTAGCAAAGTGTCAGCGATTGTAGATTTTCCTTTACCTCAGAATTTAAGGGCGTTAAGGCGTTTCCTTGGTATGGCCGGATGGTATAGAAAGTTTATAAACAACTTTGCTGGAGTCACTGCTCCACTAACAGATTTGCTGAAGCAAAAGCGTAAATTTACTATGTCTGTCGAAGGAGAAAAAGCGTTTGAAACTTTAAAATCAATGCTTAGTTCTGCTCCACTTTTGATCAGTCCCGATTTTTCCAAACCTTTTTACTTACATTGCGATGCAAGCAAGACAGGAGTAGGTGGGGTTCTTGTACAAAAGTCAGAAGCAGGAGACGAAATGCCGATTGCATTCGTATCTAAGAAATTAAACAAGGCCCAAAGAAATTATTCTGTCACCGAGCAGGAATGTTTGGCAGCCATCGTATGTATCAAACGATTTCGTCCGTATGTTGAAGGGCATGAATTTACAGTCATTACCGATCATGCCTCTTTAAAATGGCTTATGTCGCAAACCGATTTACATTCCCGTTTAGCGCGTTGGTCGTTAAAACTGCAGGGTTTTCGATTTAATATTGAGCATCGAAAAGGCAAATTAAATATTGTGCCAGATGCGCTGTCACGCGTAAACGAGGACGAATTAGCAGCAATTGACTATAATAAGGGCCTAATTGTAAATTTGGACTCAGAACATTTTAAGTCAGCTGATTATCTGGATATGGTCGAGTCAGTTAAAGCCAACAATGACCAGTTTCCGGACTTGAAGGTGGTTGACAATATGCTGTATAGGCGCACCGTGCATACAACGGGTGATCAGCTACACGACAATTATGCTTGGAAATTGTGGATACCTAAGAACTTGGTCGAGGAAGTACTCCGCAATGCCCATGACAATCCGTTAGCATCACATGGCGGGATCCATAAAACGTTGGAACGAGTCCGGCGTTACTATTTTTGGCCTGGTCTTGTTGATGATGTCAAGACGTACGTAAATGCTTGCGAAACTTGCAAGATGACAAAAGCACCGAATTTTCCGATGCGACCACCTTTGGGCAAACCTGCGGAGTCTGAGAGATTTTTCCAACGTTTATACGTTGACTTTTTAGGTCCATATCCTCGGTCACGCAGCGGAAATATTGCCATCTTCATTGTTTTAGATCATTACTCTAAATTTGTTTTTCTGAAGGCAGTAAGGAAATTGAATGCAGAAACGGTTGTTAAGTACATGCAGCAAGAATTGTTTCATACATTTGGGGTGCCCGAAACTATAGTATCGGATAATGGTTCCCAGTTTAAATCTGAAGCATTTCAAAAATTCTTGCGGGAAAACAAAATTTTCCATTCACTTACAGCGGTGCATTCGCCTCAGGCAAATGCTTCTGAGCGCGTGAATCGCTCAGTTATAGCAGCCATCCGTTCGTATATTCGTCCAGATCAAAAAGACTGGGATGAAAGTTTGAGCAGTATCTGCTGCGCTTTACGGTCTGCTGTCCACTCTGGCCTCGGCACAACACCTTATTACATGGTCTTTGGTCAGCATATGATTACTTCAGGTTCAACGTACAAGTTGCTTAAAACGTTGCGCCTTATTGAGGATAGAGCGGTTGTTTTCTCAAGAGAGGATTCGCTCGATATTGTGCGCAGTAAGGCGCTTGAGACAATGAAGAAACAGCAGCAGAAGAACGAAAAAATCTATAATTTGCGGTCGCGTGAGGTTTCTTATTCAGTTGGACAAGAAATCTTCCTTAGAAATTTTAAACAGAGTAATTTTCCAGCCGGATACAATGCAAAGTTAGGACCAGCTTTTGTGAAAGCGAGAGTTCGACGTAAACTTGGAAATTCTTATTACGAGGTCGAAAATTTGCAAGGGAAAATACTGGGTCGTTATCATGCGAAAGACTTGCGTCAGTAAGAATTTGTTTTCTTGCAGCGTCTGGTGTTTTCAATCTTGCGTTTGCTTTGAAACCCAAGATTGAATTTAGCAGGGGGGAATTTGTAACGACGCTGGCGGCGAATATCGTAAATTAAATTGCATTCCCTTAGTCAAGCAGTTCATTGGCTATTTATGTTTACGCACTGCTTGTTTAGTTACGGTTTGAATTGGCGATTCGTCTTAGCGCCAACTGCCTATGATCGCATTTTTTATTATTCTTGCCTTAGCAGACGAAACAAACAAATTTTCCATAATTGTTTTTATATATGTACAAAAAAAAATTATTTTCTGCAGCCGCACGGCTATCGGCCACCTATGGGTTATTTTCAGTATTGCTCAGTGGCAATATTTGCTAGTTGTCAGTGGCCCTTTCTTCAACCTTGACCTGTCAAAGGGAGATTGTCAGAAGAGGGGGTGAAGCAATTTCCGCAAAGAAAAGTTTTCTTGCGTAGCCTCGGCATCCGGATACTTTCTTTTCGCTTGAAGATCGCATGGGAGCAGGTTGTGCCCAATATACTCTGGCTGGCAAATATATGGTCATACATATAGTATAACCTATAGTCCGTTTCAAATTCGGCTGGGCCAAAGCGTTAAGCCTGCTGCAACAAATTTGGAGAATTTGCAGTAATCTTTCACTTCAATTGTGTTAGCAAAAGGAATTCTGCCTGGTGCCACTTCCGGATATCGGGTAAATTTTACTTTTTCCGTTTATTCGCATATAAAATGCAAAAGCTAATGCTATTTCTTCATTGTACATTGTTTTCGTGCAGAATTGGCACTTAATAAAAAGTCCAATCCCCATAAAGGGCATTAACCTTTGCTTATCGCTTTGATGGGCACTTGCTAGAGCGACGACTAGGAAAAGGGAAGTGCACGGGAGAAGGAGGCGTGCTAGAAACGAGATCGGCGCTTCGCTCAGGCCACTGGAACGGCGAAAAGAATCACCGCCTCAGTTGCGTGGATCATATCCGATATGACGGTCGTCGGCTTAAGCTAGGGCACCTGTTTTTTTTGTTGCGTTTCCGTGCACCGAAAAGGTGGCGAAGCCCCAGGTGGCTTTAGTGAAGAGGGCCTGCGTAAAAAAAAAAAAAAAAATTATAAAAACTATATATATGTAAAACTATACACAAATGTGGGCCCTGCAAAAACAACAAAAAAAGTGCAACCGAGAGAACTAGGCATTTATTTTTTTTCTATTCTTTCGTCTTATATTCTTTTTTTTTGGGTCGTATACGGCCTTATACTTAAATTGATCTATATCCGATGTGAGCAAAGCAGCACGGCCGGGTGTGTAGAGAGGGAAAAAAAAGAAATAAGTGAAAACCAAAGAGAAAAAAAAGAAAAGAGAAGGCAACAAAAAAAAAAGGCAAAACAACAAATAAAAACCCCTTTGACTATACGTTTCGAAATAAAATTTTATTAAGCATGGCGACAAGTGAAGGTATGAAAAGTGCATGTTTTTAAAACCAAAATTTCAACATAAAATTTTACAAACAAATTAAAAATCATAATTAATGTGCATGTAAGCAGCAACGAGCCTATGCAGAGCGCCTCAACGGAAAGATCTTTCGACGTTGGACGACAACTGTAAGTAGAACCGTTTGAATTTTATTTACTTTCATGCAGAAGAGCACGCGTACAAAAACAAAAAAAAAAAATAAATAAAACACCTGTTCATATGCGTCATATGTCTGCCTGCTGGCCATGTAAAGTCTAATTTCCGCATTATTATTATTTTTTTTTAAATCACCGTAATAACGTTATACTTGATTGCGGTCATTACTTACTTAAATTTATGGCCAATCTTTACAAAAAAAAAAAAAAGCGATGCAAGAATTTATAACACTTTAAATATCAACACTTTCTCTTACATCAAATTTTTTTCCTATTATATTACGATCCATTTCAATTATTAACCATCTCTTACAGCCAAGCCGTTGCTTTACTCACCTTGCTCAATTTATATTTACACTAGTATTTTAAGGCAGTCATATGTTTACCTATTCTGCTACTGGCTACGAATCCAGTGATAATTAGCTTTAGATTTCTATTATCGGTTAATGTACGGTCACTTTTTTTTGGAATTCCTTGAAAATTATGATTTTAGTTTTTAATAAAAAGTTTATAATGTTCGCTTAAATTCCGCCTAACATTGATTTCCGCTAGCCACAGCATGTAGAGGTTCAAAGGGGTCATTTGCATAATTGTTTTTGGATATAAATGACCAAGGATGGGTGGGCCAATACTTCCTCAACACCATCAGGGGAATACCAGAGGTGTGTTCACTTGTGTTACGTGGTCTGCCAACCCGCGATCCTTTTGTTAGTCATATTCATGTATATCTTTACCGGTTTTTTTTTGGCTTCCCCACAGCACGCTTTAACTTTAAATAATAAGCTTAATGAAAGGCCGTATGATTGGAGAGACCTCGAACACCACCCACTAGCCGACGAGCCCGAGCCGGAACATATAGCGTGCGCTCTCCAACATACACACACCATCTCGCCTACTCTACTGGGATATGTCCTATACCCGTTACAACATGTTTTATTAAGAAAAAATGCACACACTTCAATATTAATTCGAAGAAGAAAAACAAAAAACAAAAAAAACGGAAATACGACAAAGTAGTGGAAAAGATGACAAACGGAGAAAACCTGTGGGGCGCGAGATCCTTCGCTCACTTCCTCAACTTGCTGCAGTTGCCCAAGGCATCGAGTATGTGGCCATGGCCGCACTGCGTCTCCCCCTTCAGGACCTCGGGCTGCATGATCTCCACATTAGCGAGGAAGCTGCGGTCCTGTGACATTTCCTCCACCGACTCCTTGGAGAGCTTATCGCGGAAGCCCTCGAACCGTTCCTTAATATCACTGCCCAGATCCTTAGCCTTTTCGCCCAGCTTTTTGGCGCCCTCCTTCAATTCGGCACCCAGCTTTTTGGCATGCTCGCCCGCTTTGCTCACGCCCTTCTTGATGTGGCAGCCCACATTCTTGAAGAAGTCCCGCACCTCACTCTCTGCACTCGCCGAGCTGGCATCCACGCCAGTGACCTCAGACAGCTTCCCTCCAATATCGCTGCCGATCTCGGCCAGCGCCTCCGGCAACTTTTCATCACAGCCAAATAGATCGGCACGACTCTGGCTCAATGCCAAGAGAAGTAACAAAGGCAACGCATAAATCTGACGCATCTTGGTCTCTGTTGCCTTCTTTCTTGATCTTCCTCTTTCTGATGTGATGTATGTCCTGTTCCTTTGGCAGCTGCTCTAGCGTTTCCTGCTGATTCTGTATCTGTTTCTGTTCCCAGGAGCTGTCCAAACTGATCGGGCGCGTTGCGATTGCGTGACTGATTGGCGGCGCGTTGCTCGATGTGCGTTTTATGTTGGGTTAGTCAGTATGCTGGACAGGCGGACAGGCGGACAGGCAGACGGCGACCCCCAGCAGCCTTTTGTCATACGCAGCAATAACGGCAGTTGCCATTTGAGGAAAATTGTCGCTTTGTTTGTTTCGTTGTTACCGTTTTGCATCTTGTTGTTTTTTTTTTCCTTACACTTAATTCAATTGTAAGCTGACGCCAATGATGCGCACGTATAAACATTCAACTATATATAGTACATACAGATACACACGTATAGTACGAGTATATGCGAGTATATCTGAATATTCGCATATTAAGACCTTTACGGTCGTATCCACGTTTTTGTCGACAGTGTCCGACGCACTCGTTTGCTCGCATTTCTTTCTTTATTTATACAAAGTAATTCAATTTACGCTCACTAACAACAACAACAACAACAACAATGACAATAATAATAATAACAACAACAACAGCAGCAGCAGCAACAACAATGCGAACACTCGTTACAACAACAATGAGCAAGCCAATTATCATTTGATTGCGAGCTGCGCGTCTTAGATGCGAAATCAGCCCCAATCATCTCAATCATTCCAACTAGTACGTGTATGCTTCCATGTGTGTGTGTCCTTCTACATATAAATGCATATGTACGTGTATGGTGTGTTAGTATGTTAGTTGTATGTGTGGCGACGTATTGGCATATATACACATATAGTATTACGCATACGCAGCGTGCTACCTGCGATGTAGTCTTGAGCGAACTCATCCAACAATTCCTAAATGCAAAAAACGACATTTTCGTTTTTTCAACTGAATTGAAATGAACTTTGCTATGTTTTTAGCTCATCGCTCATCTGTATATCTGGTTATACATACATACTTACGTTTATGCTTATGTGCATAGTACTTGTAATCTTTTATCTGATCAGACTGTACCGCAAAATTGTTCCGCATTTTCATGCTTTCTTTGAAGTTTTTCGATTAATGAAGGCCTAAAAGGAATACTTCATTGTAACGCATATAGTACTACTATATTTTTGTTCCTATTAAAAGTGTTTATTTGCTGCAAAATATAATCAGATATCATATGCACATAATATACTATTAAGAAAATGAATAGCTGCTGTTAGTATTAGTGTCATAACCATGAAAGCAAGGGCGTAGGCAAACATTTTTCCCATATAAGCTCGACCACACGTTCATTATTATGACGCACTATTTCGTCTTAGAAATGGAACTGAGTTGAATTTATTGAAGTTTTTCCATTGATCATGTGCATTAATTATTATTTAAATGCAATCAATTATTCCTTGCGGCGTAGAACCGTTGTACGAAAACTGGTATAACGAACTGGAATATTCGAAAGGCAAGTAACTCGAAAGTTATCCGACTCATTCTGAAATGCTCCTTAAACTGATCAAGCCGGTATCTTTTAATAACTTCTTCCTAATAAGTCTTTGAGGTTGAAGGTGTGTTGCGGGGTTGTACTGACTATTAGGCGTAGCTCAATGTTTTTTAACGAAAACACTTTGTTCAAAGATACAATTAATATTATATATCGTAACTAGTATAAACTAGTATAGCAAATAATAAAGAAAATCATGCTTCTGCTTTACTAGGGCTGTAAAAAAACACAGATGTTTTGACAATAAGTATGTACTCACTTGTACCTATGTTTTTACGAACGCATACATCCAAGTCCATGGGCGATCATATTCAGTGCTGCCAACTTTTTAGAAAGAAAAAAAAGCTGTGTTTGACGGCCAGAAGAGTGAAATAAGGCTGAAACTATTTTACAATACAACGTGAAAAACTCTACAATTCTTGTTACAAAAAGTGTCAAATTAAATCTGTTTTTCAAGGATTTTTCATCACCTTACTGAACTTTTAATTTAATATTCGCACATTTTGTTCTGTGTCGTCGTATGCACCTTCAAAAAAGGTAGTGCAAACAGACAACTTGTTTCATTGTAAGTGATCCAAATATCTCGGTATTTTTCCTTGTAATCTTCAAACACGAATGCATTTGTACCTTATCAAATTAGCCGCACTTTTGCGATAAAAATTACAAAAAGCGGAAAAAAACTAAATGTATTTATAAAAAGCCAGAATTCCCGCAATATGATTTTAAAAACAACCAGATTTGAAGGGAAAAAAGCCAAATTGGCAAAACTGATCATATTGCTATATTTCCTGCATATCCATAATTTTATGCATAATTGTTACCAATTTTATACGCTTGGCTGTGCTTAAAGTGCAAAAGCTACCAGGAACACAAAAAAATAGATTTCCATATATTTAACCCAAATATGGCACTTTTAAATGTGGTATATTAATATGAATAGGCATTATCTAATCTACCAATGCCAACGTTAGTATTTTCCTCAGAATAGTCCTCCGTAGGCTCCTCATGTTCGTCGCCAATATAGGTGTCCTCCTCCTCGTCATCGTTGCCCAAATCAACGGTTTCTTCATCATCTGCATTACTACTGGCTTTCTCTTTTTCATCTAAACTCTCTGCGTTCTCAGTACCCTCAGCATTCTCATCATGATCATCTGCAGGGTCTTCAACATCCACAATTTGTACTTCATCGACACTGGTCCTTTCAGTTTCGGCTTCTGTTCCGCCTTCGGTTTCAGCATCAACTTCTTCTTCAGTTTCTGCTGTTTCCGTCGTTTCCGTGTCTTCAGGCAAAAGAGGCAAGACAGTAGGCCAATTGCTGGGGGTCGTTGTTGTAGTGGAGGTAGTGGGGCGTTGCGTTGTTGTTGTGGTTGTCGTTGTTGTTAATGGCCGGCTATAGATGTCACCTGCAATGAGTGCAACTCGAATTAAAGAATAAGTACGAAATTAAAAATGGAATCCCTATATCCCATATGCTTCGGCTTGGATCTCATATAGACCTTTCATTGTACCATTTGATCTTCTTGGAAGAAAATATACTTGTACATACATACAGGAAGCCCGTTAATTAAGTTAAAATGTCGAGACTACGCCAATAAATTTTGAAGTGACCTCAATAATTAGATTCTATGTTTTCATGAACGTATTTGTGGGCCCAATGTCCGCCTTTGTGTACCTGAGCATTCCGGCAGTGTGGGCTGAAAATCGCATCGTATTTTACGGTCAAGTTCAGACTCGCTCAGTCTCTTCACTGGTCGCGGTGTTGTGGTCGATCGTTTCAGGAAGTACAAGTGTCGCACCTCAAGCACATCGAGATCGGGATTGTGGGGCGAGGGGCGACGCCGCCAGTATCGCTTGTAGTAGACGGGATCCCGAGGCATAGTGGACATTCGGTCGTCTGGCCGAACGGGTGCTGCCTCAAGCAGTTCGCTGCAGCAGCACCATAGCGCGAAGAGCACCAAAACGATACGTGAAGCTGGAAATCGCATCTTTAGAATACTAAGAAAGCACATCGTCTTTTTTTGTAGCTGGTCTGCGTCAAAATACGAGCAGTGGAACTTATCAATTTATAGATTGATAACCCTAGGGTCTTGTTTTCAATGTTCAAGTGTCTGCCGGATATGAATGAAAAAGTGTTGAATAGTTTCGGGCAGAATTCGCAAATCTTCTGCTGTTATTCTGCTGTTAATTCGCTGTTAATTCGCTGTTAATTCGCTGTTAATTCGCTGTTAATTCGCTGTTATTCTGCTGCCCGTTGACAGGCATTGTTGTTGTTGTTAGTGCAGTTGCTTCTCGGACTAGCACGACAAACCACAAACAAATCTTCGTCTGTGGCCACTTTCTTGACATAGTATGTATCAATGCCGAGGTGAAGTGAAAACAAAAAATTAATTTATGCATGCCGTATGTCTTTTTTCTATTCTTATTCCATTCTACTAGTATATACACGTCTACACAAATACTGTATTAAATAGGTATACATTTTTTCTCCTCCACTTGAAACATTAATCACAGGCACAGTTGCTTAGTCGCACTGGCTATACACTTCCCTCCCCCCCCCCCCCCCCCCCCCCCCCATTACTTGTGGAGCACACTTTAAGCATTATTCTTCATTGTTTTTTATAAATTTAGTGAATAATTATAATTATTTTAATATTTGTATGGCAAATAGTAAATGTATGTCTTTTCCGTTTAAAAATATTAAACGGCTTTTAGCCTCGTCATTCAATCACATTTTATATTTGAAACATTTCCAGTACGAATATTCCCCTTCTTTTATTATTCGAATATTCAAAAGGTATCTGGCAAGCAGAAAGAATTGAAACGCAATCATTTGTGTACTCCGTGTCCAAAGGGAAAAAGGGTATGCTAGTTGTAGATCCGTCCGTCTCTTTGAACGCAACGATCTCTAAAAGTAATAAACACCAATTAAGTAGTTTTCATACTCTGCATAGTCCTAAGCAAGACAATAACTGGTAATTAATTGGTGATAACTCTTTTAATTATGTGCATTTTCTATGCGTATTTTACCTCAAGTGCGTCAAGTTGAATCAATTTGAATATTGTTTCATTTTCCTATTCTAATTAGATCAATTTTATTTAGAAATATTAACTACAAGAATGCAACCCAATGTCAGTTCATAGCTTTGCCATTTGTTAAAAGCCTATTTTTGAAATGTCTTCAGAATATAATACTTGTATTATTGATTTCCAGAGACATTATGACCTGCCATTATCAGTTCTGTGATTATAAGAATATAAGAATACAAAGCTAGCAGATTTCGCTTCAAAATATGACAGCAAAGGTGCATTTGAATTTGATTCGCATTGTAATTAAACTTAGCGACTAGTACTAACATACAATTAGGGCATGCCCCTTTCTACATACATATGTACATACATACATACATATGCATATGTACATACATACATTGCCAAAGCCTTGCCTCTAGCATATAGGCATTCAATTTGTTTGCCCACAAAATATTTGGAAAGACTTTTTAGTGGCGAGAAACAAATTAGCCAGTCGCACACACGCGCACGCACACAGATGCTTAGCCACAGCCACAGCCACAGCACCAACAGCAACAACAACAGATGCAACAGCTTATTCTAAAATGTTGTTCAGTATTTGTTTGAATATAAACAACAATCGGCAACAACAACAACAAAAACAACAACAGCAGCCGCAGCTATGAAAGCGAAAATGCTTTTGGGGGTAAATTGTTTTTATGTGTTTGTTGCTGCTTCTGTGATTCTTGTTGTTGTCATTTACATATATCCTTGTTGTTGTTGTTGTTGTCGCTGTCGCTGCTGCTGTTGTGTGAGAGCGTGAAATATGCAAAGTCGCCGCGGCATGAAATTAAACATCGCACAACAACATAGCGGGTGTGGGGGGTGTGTGCGATAGTTGGGTTGGTGGGGTGGGGGTTGGGGTAGCTGAAGCGGGGATAGTCGATGGGGGCAGCGGGTGGGGGGGCATGTATGGGGCAGCCAGCGCTTCTTGTGCGCATCGTGGTGGTGGCCCAAACAGTTGGACAGTTGACTAAGGTGCACGTTGGCGGGCGGACGCGCAACTCAGAGCGCCGCACCAAAGTGAAAGAGACGGGGCGCGCTAAAAAGAAAGACACAGATGGAGAGAGAGAGAGAGAGAGACAGACAGGCACAAGATAGCTAGAGAACGAGACAGCGAGAGAGAAGACACGCGTCTAAAAATATTTACTTTTTAAATCAAACTTTTTCAATCGCAGAACTATTTGAAAGCGCATAAAATTCTGCTTATCCGTTTATTTGTTTGATTTTTGTTTTTGTGTTTTTGTGTTTTTGTTGCTGTGTGGTTGCTGTTGCCGCTGCTGTTGCTGTATGTAGAGTGTGAATTATAATAAGTTAAGGAAATAACTTTAAGTGGCACACTGGCGCACTAAATGTCAAGTGATCAAGCAGTCAAGAGTCGAAAAATCGGGAGCAGAGGAACGTTGTTCGTTGTCTATAAATAGGCGTCGCAAAAGACAAAACTGTGGGCAGCGTGTGGGCAGCGAACTTGGCAAATAACAACAACAACAACAACTACAACAAAGAGAGCATATATACAGCTGTGTATTTCAATATATATGTACGTGTATGTATGATCTGTGTGCTGAGATAAACAATAATTTGTTGTACGCGTCGCATTGGCGCAGAGCCAGCGGCTAATAAGCGGCGCTGATCTTCAGAAGCCAGCAACTGGGCGAGACGCACAGATCGGCGGTGGTGGAGGAGGAGGACAAAAGGAGACAGGAACAGGTGGAAGCTGCCGTGCTCAGCTGATGGGGCGCTGAGTCAACCAATGCCACTACAACAACAACTAGCCGAAAAATTGCGAATTCCGAATTGCGAGCAATGTCAGATTTGTTTATGAACTTGCAACAGCGACGATTGCAACGCGCCAGCTGTGCAGCAAATGCCAAAGAAGTCGAGAGGAATGCTGTGGAAGAAGAGGACGCGGAGGAAGGCGGTGAGGATGAGGATGGGGATGGGGATGGGAATGGGGCGGAGCCGAGCCAAGAGGAGGATCCCTTTGCCAATCTGCTCAGTCTGAAGCTGCACAAGCCGGCGCATTGGAATTGGGAGCTGACCACATCCCGCAGCTGCAGCAACATTGCACTGCCTCGGATCCTGCTCTATGATCATACGGGTGCGCTGCTCGTAGATGCCAACAGCCAAACGGAGCTCAGCTATCGCTCACACACGCTCGCGCCTACGCCTACGCCTACGTCTACGCCCACCACAACCACAGCCGGAGGCACAAGAAGTGGAGCAAGATCGCAGGCGGGCTCAGGCATTGAATCTTCTGTCGGACGTCATCGCAAGCGGGCAGCCACCGCTAATTTGGGCCAGTGCCTGCGTCAAGCACTGCACACGGACTTCCATGGCCTGCATATTGCGGAAGCCACGCCCAGCACCACGCCCACCACACGCTCGCCGTCGCGTCTTCATGGTGGCAGTTGCATCGACTTCAGCACTCACGAGCTGCCCAACTATACGGAGCAGCGCCCACTGAGCTCCGAAAGGCGCTCCAGTTCCCTGCGAGGTGTGCGCTTCCATGAGGCCGAGCAGCCGACCACTTACCCTACGCCTCCCTCAACGAGCACCCTGACCACCACAGCGAATTCCTCGTCGTCCGGACCGCGCGAAAAGCGACGCTATAGACGATCTCATAGCTCAGGACGCGTCAGTGGAAGCTCCATACTGGAGCGCTTTAGCATGACCAGAGGCCGTTACTCATCGCCCGAATACGCCACTGAGGAGCAGTTGCAGCATGCACCACGCTACTACCTGAGAAGCAGCAAGGCCGGCACGCTAGTCATCAAGGATGACAGCTTCAGTCGAGTGCGCCAGCGACGCCGCCGGCCCCGACACTCCTCGACTGAGAATGTGCTCAACGAGAGTACTCCAAGCAGATCCGTGCTGGTCACGACAACAGCGGCCGCAGCTGTGGCAACGTTGGGGGCGGCGGCGCCGCTGCCGGCAATGCCGCTGCCGGCAATGCCGCTGAGCAATGGACGCAAGCGTGGCTGCTCGACGCAGCGACGCCAGCAGAGTGCGACACATCGCCTGTCCACATCGGAGGAAGAAGAGCAGGGCAGGGACGAAGCACGTGGCAGGCGACCACAACGTCGATATGGCAAGAATTTAACGAAGGGTGAGTGACATGTCTATCAGGAGGTGGCGAGTAAACATACATATCAGCCATATTATGGAATAAGCCGAACAGTGTGAACGGAACTGGAAAAGTCTTGTTCATCTTTACAGTTTTTTCTTTTCGATTTGAAACGAACTCAATTAAAAAAGAAGTAAACTATTTATGCATTTCTAAAGATGAACTCATAGTCAGATAATATTAGCAAAAATAAAAACTAATAATTTTTGGATCAAACCTACAATTTGAACAAATTGTTTAAGTAAAATGTAATTGCATATTTGAATACATAGTATAATTGAATATAGTATATTTGCTTTATTTACCAAGTAATCAACATGAAAAAAGCATTTAACTCGAACTGATTGCGAAACGGATCTTAGAGACTAAATTAAATATGATTGTCCATCCTAAAAACGAAACTACGCATCAAATATAAATACATACACACATACATATGTTTACCTGCTCATCCATCTAAACTACGTATCTCTCGTCTTGGCTTCTCTAATTCCGAACCCTTTGTATATTTTATTTAGAACTCATCACGGTCGATCCGGAGAATTGTGTTTATCGTGCGACGACGGCCGCCACGGCGCGCTGAAGGAGCTCGGCGACTCGGCACTTGTTGACGACAATGACGATGCTTGGGATGGCGATGATGCTGCGGATGATGATGTCACAAGCCACTCACTGAATACATATGTACTACTTACTTGTATATGCATGCTTATGGCCACTTAGTTCTTCCAATATTCACTCGTACGTCCAGCTCGTCGCTGTTGTTGTTGTTGTTGTTCCTGCTGTTCTTCAGATCTTTGTTCGCCTGCGTTTGATTTCTCGGCACATTTTCATGAGCTGCGTGCGCCATGTGATGTACAATTTGTACATACGAATATATATGTATGTATAGACTATTCTATGTACATTGTGCCGTATATAAAAATGTTGTTTTTGTTTACGGCCCGCCGTCGTTGGCATATTGTAGAATAAAATAAATAAATAAATGGTAAATGTAGCGCAAGCTGTAGATAAATAAAAGTGCCGGCTACATACATACCTCAAGGCTTTAAAAATGTGTTTAAATAATTTTGAATTCGCGATAAGCCTGATGATTATTCGATACGAGAAGGAATATTAACTCTCAGCATACTACAAGTAATTATATATATAAAAATGTCATTGATAAACCCCGAAATTACTGAACCGATTTCAATTAAATTTCACATGTATCTGTAATTTGGTTTCACTTAGTACAAGATAGAAGAGTTTTTAACTCTTTTAAACCCTAACAGACAGTGCCCGAAGACCTGGTGTGAATACGGAATATGGAACGTATGGATAACACATACTATATGTAGGCAGAAAAATCTTATTACAAACCATATATAGGGTCAATATTGTATATAGCATTTGTAGAACTGATCTGTGTAAATGAATATAGATAAATAAATAAATGAATATTCTGAGAAAATTTGGTACTCAATATATATATTTCCTATAGTGCCTTGCAGACTGCAGCTGATGGTGCACTCCCATAGGACCAATCGGTGGGGGAATCACTCTTAGTAAGAACATTTTTTTTGTTTATTTGTGCAGTGGGATTTTATAAAAGTAAAAGTCTTCTGGTGTATTCTTTAAATCAAGCTGTGATAGTTCTTTGATGTTCACTCAACATTTTTTTTTTTTTTTTTAAATAGTCTTCCGATTCTTATGTATATCTATTATGATTCTCACTCGCAATAGGAGATGCACCAAAAAATCTTTCAAACAATGCCATCAAATTTGTGCGGTACGAACCTCTTTTTCCAAAATTGTTGAAGGATTTCGGACTTCGTAGATTGCTGGGATTTCTGAACATTACGAAGTCATGGATGGACTCTTTAGAATTTTGTCTGTCCGTCTGTCTGAACGCAAGGATCTCAGAGCTACAAGAGCTAGAATAACCAAAGTTGGTATTCAGGTTCTCCTGAGCCTTAAGCAGATCAAGTTTGTTTATTTTTTCTGATACACCCACCACTCCCCCGGAATTCGTGTTTTTTTCCAAAAGAAATGCCAGATTTGGCATACCTCCTTTATTACGATAGGTTAATTATGAAGAAAGTTATAGCCATTTGGTCCAACTTTGTGCTGCATACATACACGCATATAAACACGCAGAGACACGATTCTGATGTAAATGTATGCTGTTGAAACTGTACATAAACATTTATGCATGTGTTGAATATTTTATATTTAAATAAATTAATAAAAAATGCTTAAATAATTTTGGTTTTTTTTTTTGGGTGGATATAGGGTATTTAAAAGTGAGCCCGCTTGACTTTAGCATTCCTTTCTTGTTTACTTTTGCAATCACGCACTGTTATGGGGTTGTCTTCGCTAACAGAGCGCTGTTAGCTAACATTTCGAAGGTGCTCCCAAAAGTATGCCACATTATATGACAATGGCACTGCATAGCAGCTACGACTAAGGCCGTGGATTTAAATAAACAACGCAGAGGTATTAGCAAAACAGTCGCCAACTGATAAGGGTTCATAGATTGGACGAGCATTGCTGGTGACGGAAATCAGTCGCCCATTGCCGACGGTAGTCAACACACTCGGATTCGACAACTCGCACACCCATTTAGCAGCACCATGTCTAGAGGGTTTCACGAAGCACCTCTGCTCTGCTTGCTGCTGCTGATTGCGACGCTCGCGCTGCTGCCGCCCACCAGTACCACACGTGTCATCTACTTTAACAAGCCTGAGACCACCACTGTGGTGGATCGAAGCATGCTCTTGGACATACAAAGCCGTGGGTGTCGGCCCGGCTTTATGCGTGATCATCATAATCGCTGTCGTCGGGTAAGTAGTTGCGGGTTCCAGTCAAGTCTAAGCCGTTCGACTGACGCCAGTTCCATTGCAGATCGTTTAGACTTTGACCGCTGGCTGTAACTTGAGTAGGTGATTTCATGGTTCGGTTATCGTTATAATTTAATTTCGTGATAAATAAATATTTATTGAACATCAACGCATTTCATAGCTAGCTCAAAGGGCAAACGATTTTAATACGTCATGGTCGCTGAGCGCTTTTCATTCTTTCCCCTAAACGCAATTAGTCAGACGACAGGTAGGGCGCGTGCTGCATGTCTACCCCATGGTCTGGCGGTGTTTCGTCATAGCCCCGACACATGATGAAATTCCAGCAAATAGCGCATGGTAAGTGGCAAATGGCGACAGAAATCGAAATTGGAACTGTAAGCTAGCAGAGATACCAGCGAAGATACTGGATACCAGATACGAGATACCAGATACAGACACAACTACAGCAAAAGAAACAACGCAAGAAACGCCGAGATAAAGACGCCAATGGTCTGTGCATGAGTCATTTGGTCACATTGCTCTGCTTTTTGGGAATTTTCGAGCACATGCAGGCGGCCAACACTATGGCCAAGGAGATAACACGACGTGCGCCAGTCCATGCGCAATTGTGACGTTGTTCAATAAGGGGTTATTCTATTGCCCGACCATTATTTGCGGTGCTTAGCACAGATTTTCTAGGAAAGCCATAAAACAGCTGTTTGCATGAGCAAACAATCGACCCAGCCCCAAATGCGTATGTCGCCAATTGTTGGTAGGGAAAGCAAAAGTGTTTTTAATTGTTTATAATCGAAGCGTGATGAAAACGTCAAACGATATGTCCAGCTGAGCGGTAAGCAGTCAGTATTGAGGGGCAGGAATCTATATACTTATCAATTATTGCGGTCTTCGCGATAACACTGATATGTTAGAAATAATACGCACATGTCAATGCGTTGTCCGCTCAAAACTGATATAGAAAGAAGGAAACTTAATACTCTTTAAAGCAAAGAAATATGAAGAAAATTAAGATGCAGTTAATATGCTTCGTCATTAACGGAGTGTTGGTTGCCAAGTCTTTGTCAAGCATATTGCTTAGCTTACAAAGCTAACATATGACAGATTATTCTCGGAGATTTTCCAGCTTGTGTACCAATAAGAGATTCTTTTTCCAGAACCATATTCCAATTGGGTTCATAAATGTTAAAAATGTGGTTTCTTTTAATAGTTAAGAAGGTCTACTTGTGTCTATGCATAAGCATGTAATACTGGGCTCTAATTTACTTTTCGCAAGAAGAACTTCTATGCGTTGGGAAAAATAAGATATTTAAGTTTTTTCTTGGAAGCGTTGGAGAAGCAGACTAACATTTCTAACATTTTATGAAATTGAGGATCAATAGAAATCGGCTATTCCAATTCGAAGAAAAATTCGGTAACCTTATCAACAAAAAGTAATTCTGAAATCAATCCAAGAACAAAGCAAGAGTATTTCCTAGTGTGAGATAATTTTTGTTTTTAAATTAGTAGCATACTCCAAGAGAAAAAGGCGGACAACTCTTATGGAAATGAAAGAGGAAGACCATGATATATGTACTATATATGAATATCATGAATAGTGGTGCTCCCCGCAGCGTGCCCCTTCGATTGGACGAGGAGTCAGTGGTTAGGCACAGCAAAGCGAAACACTCAATTACACAGATTGCAAATGACATACAATGCTAGATAAGATTTGGTGGCCAGGCAGGGTGTTCATGGGGCAGCGATGCCTATGGACTTGCTGGAGCTGAACAGGCAAAGGCTGTTGAGGGTGGACACCCTGTATAGTTTATCAATGCAGAGACGACGCCAATAGGCGCACACACACACTGGCACAAGAGCAGCGACCAACTTTTAAGAACTGGGCGCCCCAATCGTATATAATCAGTTAAATGCCGGCATTTGAGCGAGACAGTTAGCAAGGTTGAAAATTGGTAGACGATATAAAGTACTATAATTGTAACGTGACTCGTAACTGCGAATAGAAAGGCGTGAAGCGGGCCAGCTGACGATTACACAATTCACAAGATTTCACGGAACTGCAGTAGAGCGGGCACAAAACTTGGGCAGTCAGTCGATCTTGCTCAGCTGATAAACAAGATTTTAATAAAACAATCAGAAGAACAAGATGCGTTTAAAGCTGAACCGGCTACTATTCCTATACACGCTGAGTCTGTTCGCGTTAATTGTTCTCTGCGCTCCTGCACCCAGCGAGTCGCGTCGCGTCATCTTCTATGCCCCACATCGGATCTACACCGGACAGATTCTGGCCACGCACAGCAAAGAGAAGCCCTGCCCCAAGTGCCATATGCGCGACCATCGTGGCAACTGCCGTCGCATCATAGCCTTCAATGCAGGTACGTCCCTTACGATACGCATACGCAGTGTGGGCCCATTCGGCTCCTGGCATTATGAGGTTCGAGCATGAGTTTCAATTTATCCCCACTCTATTCTATAATGTGAAGTCAATTGTTCATTTCTTATTTATTCTGTTTTATTTTACAGACGGTGTCAAGTGCTGATATTGTGGTTGAAGCCCTTAGCTTTTCACATCCCTCAATCCCGTTCCTGAATCTCTAGTTCTAATACAAAACATACATACGAGTATTTACACGCACGCACCCACACTCACACACACTCACGCACACACATCAGATGCTGGACCGATAACACACCATTATTTATTGTACATATTTATATACATTGTGCATTTTCTTCTATTTTCTTTTTTTTTGCTACTATTTAATAAACTGATAATAAATTATGGAATTTTGCGAGTATTTGAGCAAAAATATTTCAAAATTTGCAGTGAAAATTGCATTTCATATAATTTTTGCAGTTAATTAAAGATAAATACATACATGCACAGCATCTATCGCACAATCGCACACATACTTGTACACAGAGATCCACACTCGCACGCACTGCCAGCAATATGCGAAATTTCGTGCATATTTTCGTTGCTCTGATTTGGGCGCAGAGAGACGCCTGCTCGGCATTATGCAGTCGATTTCGTTGCGGACATCTGAAGTCTGGAGCTCATGAAGTCACTGGAGGAGCTACACATGTGGAGGACTTGTCAGCACTTTCCACACTCAATCAATACGCTTGGCTTAACGTGCCGCTTGGACACAATTTGGATGCCCTCTGAGATAAATTAAGGAAATCTTTGCAACATGTTGCCGACTGACTGACTTATCAGCCAGCCAGCCAACCAGCCAACCAGCCAACCAGCCAGTCAGTCAGCCAGTCATTCAGTATTTTCAGGAATAAATCACTTTTATGCCACACAAAATTAACTGCTAATATTTGGTCTGAAATAGATTTAAATGGAATTTAATATCAAGCTGATGTTAAGCCAAAGGATTTTCCACACAAGTTGACGCACTCTTTGCGAACAGGCTGTAATATGTGGAATAAAGGCCAATAGAATTTAACAAGACCATTGTCTTTCACAATTAGAAATTGAAATCTGCATGTACATAGTATGCATAAATGAAATCAGAATTTTGCAACAAATAAACATTTAAAAATAATAATAAATGTATGTGTTTGACAAAGAAGAGCATAACAGCATAAGCATAACATTGCTGATATTACTCGTCTTATTAAACTAGCACCCGTTGCTATATCTCAGACAAAATAATTATTATTATCGATTTAGAGAGAAACAGAAAAAATAATCCTTATCATAAAATTGAAGAAATATCAACGCTCACAACGGTTTATGAACGAGCATTTCAGCTTTTAAGTTTCCTTAAGTCAATATCGCTTTTATTTGAATCAGTCTTATTTTGGCATTCTTTACCAGTGTTTATAATTTATTTACCAAAGATGAATGGGTAGTGGATTGCAAGGAAATAGAGAGTATTTCTTCGCTGCACATCAGAATAGCTTTAAGGCATGTCCTCTTCTCCTCTATATCTTATTCTGTCAATGCTACTACCTCTGAACATTTGAGCTTGAAGGATGTCTACGCTAACGAGTAGGGACTTCAAAGTCTTTATTGTTTATTGTTTCAACAGGCTATAGGAAACTCGAGGAAAATCGCAACATTTAGCCTTGTCCACAGATCGTGTCATGGCTCAACGAATTCTACACCTTCCCCACGCAAGCAGACATACGACTTTTAAGTACGAGTATGTAGAATTGCTTCCTTATCAGGCAATAATGATGTACCATTCAGGGAACATCATGTTATTTATCGGGATCTCATTCTGCTACGCAGTAATGTTGTCCAAAAATAGAATAATATATAACGAAATATTTTATTGGCCGCCGCAATGCACGATTTATTAGTGTGTGTGTGTTCTTGCGTCTATTTGCTCGCCCACTACGTCACTTCATCAGCGGTAGAACAGACGATAGTTATCTGCAAAACCCCAGTTGACAAGCAATCAACGGGCATTGCGATTGGGGTAGCCATGAGGCATCAAGGTGCGCCCAAGAGCATGACATCCCACGAACACAGGCCCCGAGTGTAAGGAATTCACGAGCACCCTCCAAGCATCTAAACTAAAGCATATACTTGTACTACAAGTCTCGGGTATCAGCTATCGAACTCTATCAAAATGCTACTGGCTCAGCACGTTTCTTGGCTTTCTCAATGAGCCCCAAACCAGCCACACTACCGCGATAAAAATACCGACACTCGTGATAAAGAAATCACAAATAAAAAAAATTAAAAAAAGAAGAAAAACAACATTCTTGAAGCTGTTGCTGGCCAAAATAGAAGAGTTTGAGAGCCACTGTCTCCACACGCTCGAATTTGTAGAGCTGCATAGTTTCAGGCGCCCTGTGGAAATGATACATCGGGTACTTTTTCTTGCCCTGACGACACACTCGTAATTCCCTCAAGGCCGGAAGCAATGTTTAATGCACGTCACTGATAAGGAAGTGGCCGACAAGTTTCTCCCTAAGAGCTGACGGTGTTGATGACGGTCGATGGCGCTCGACGCATCGCTGCGGAATTCTTGGCGTGCGCTCGTAAGGCACGAAAATAGATGCCTACGACTATGGCGATCCATAAAACGAATGCCAGTCACTGTCTTGTAATTTATCTAATCGCCGGCTGGCCGTGGAATTTCTTCTTTGCCTATCTTATCGCTCCTCAAGCGATCGGCAGTATCGACACCGGGCACAATCGAACGACTTCACCAACACCCAAGGCGATTGAGTGCAGTCGTAAAAGCGAACGAAGCGAGTGCAGCGGCAAAAGCATAGCTCAGTACTCAGCCAAGCCCTATTAAACATATAAAGTGTAGCACGCGCCACACGATAGCATTCCGCGATTCTGAATTGAAAGAGAACGTAGTGTCGAGTGGTATAGAAAAGTAGCACCAACGATCCACCAACGTGCGGCGCGCAACGTTAAATAAACCTCAGAAACATGCAACTACAAAAACTGCTGTTGACCTTCAGCATCATCTTCGCGCTGATCATCGCCCACCACAGCCAGATAACAGAGGCCAAACGTCTGATATTTTACAATCGCGTCCCCAAAGTTCAGAAGGGCCAGCTGCTCGTCACACATCCCCTCAGCAAGCCCTGTCCTCAGGGTAAGATGCGCGATCATCGGGGACGTTGTCGGCGGGCCATCATCTTTGTGCGCGACTAGCCCCAACAAGCGGGCGGGGAACAACTCATCACAGGGGCGGGCCTTCAGGAACGAAATTTGGGAAAACCTCAATTGGATTACAAACATTCTTTCCGTTTCGTTTTATTTATTTTTCCTGTTTTTTTTTTGTTTTTTTGCATAACACTAAGTATTAATTTATTGCTTCGGCGTGTAGTCATGTGTAGTTATAGCTGCAAAGTAATTAATTCCATGATTATTTTATATTTAAATTTATTTATTTTAAGTGCTTACTCTACGAACAATAATAAAATAAAATTTACATTAAAAAAAAAACAATTGAGACTTTTCTGTTGTGGCCCGCTGAGTCGATAGCGGGCGTGCCGGTTACGATAAGCTATGACATCGGAAGACTTGGAGATTGCAGGTGAGTGTGGGACTGGGACTCGCACTGGGGCTAAGCTGCCCTGTCGTTTGTGGGCTTAGTTCATAAATTGTTCAAGATAAGAACAGGCGCACAAAACTTTCCATAGCGCCTATTGAAGGCATGTGTAAGCAGAAACGCCCGGAGAGGTTGCTCTAAAGCCGGCCTAGTCAGGGAATACCTAAGATAGTTAGTATTGAGAGTGACTGGAAATATTTTTCGGACGAATCGTTCAATAAAATTGATCTAAGCTTCTGTGTAAAATACGTAGAATATGTCTTTTGTAGAAGAGAGGACGAATTCATTATTCTGGAGACGTCTGCAACATCATAATGATCTTAAGTAAAGTACTCTCTTATATTTCTGTCACATGCAACTGAACCAATGTCGTTTGGGAAGTACCAAGGGCGGCCCCAAATGAAATATAATTAAAAAAAATTGGCTTGTCCGCACTACTCCAATCAAGCTCATCAATATGACTGTTTTCTGTTTCTAATATGTTCGATAAGGCGCAAACAAGTTCGACGATTGTCACGATAAAGTCTCGATAATTACGTCAAATGGGTTAAATGGGTCAGTTTTTGAGGTGGGAAGGTCCGGCGTTGGGCAACTCATCACCTCCTGCCAAACACCTACTCTTTAAGCACTATTCTCTCGGATTGTCTTTTGTATCCAGTCAAGGTAGTATCCGACGCGGGTGTAGATGCCCGGAAAGTCCGTTTCGCCGCAACGCTCTTTGCCGAGGGACACAATGCCAGCTAAAAAGACATAGCTCTCCCTCTTGGCAGTGAGAGAGCCGGCGGTAAGCGGACCACCCGAGTCGCCACTGCACGAGTCCACGCCCACACCGCCCGAGGCACACAGCTGGCTGTCGTCCAGCCTATAACCCAGCCTTTGGTACAGTGGCTTGCACTCCTGGAGCGGCTTCACAAGCAGCGTGGCTTTGCGCTTCGTGTCGCTCAGCTGGTTATTTAACTCGGTGCGCCCCCAACCGGAGACCTCGACAGCACTGCCCTCCAGCCGGTTGTCGCGTACATTGGACGCCAATGGCAGGCACACTGGCTCCACGTGCTTTAAGTCTTTGTAGTCCACGGGGTTCTCCAAGCGCAGCAGCGCAATGTCATTTGTTAGATTGACGGTTCCAAACTGCGGATGCACCAGAATGCGATCGACCTTGGCCTCAATGTGTTCCGGGACACACTCTTCCTTGCCATTCCATAGCTTAATGCAGTCCGGGTTGGACGTCTTGTTCCACTCGCCGAGCCGCGCACCAGTCAGGAATCGACCCTTGCCCAGCCAATGTTCGTGGGCACAATGTCCGGCGGTCAGAAGCCATCGCTGGGCAATGAAGGCGGCCCCGCACACGTGTTCCTTATCGCCATCGGGAAGCGTGTACTCGAGCAGAGTGGTCCAGGGAAACTCAAGAATGCTTGTGCTGACTCCACCGAAAACCCTGCTGGCGAAGGATGTGCCACAGTACGGATAACTGGGCAGTTCATCAGCCACGCTCGTTGGCGCTCTCAGCTTTTCCGCTGCCACTGGTAGTTGAGGGGCGGCGGCGGTGCCATTCAGGGAGCGAGCGGAGAACGCAGGCAGCGCATTTGTCTCGCGCGGACAGCAAACCTTTACGGAAGCCAAACAATCTGGTTAAGTCTTTCAAGTTCTCATGTTTTTTTTTTTGCTTACCAAGTCTGGCCGTTGCTGTGAAAAGCACTGCCGCTTGCTCGCCCCATCTAGGCTATCAACGCCATAGAAGTCACACTCCGTCCGATAGATGCAACGACCCTCTCCAAAGTCCTCCGTAACGCATCTGCCAAAGTGTGTGATCGCCTCTGATGAGATACAAGCAGAACTATTTAGAGAACTTATGTGACAAGAGGTGTTGAAAAGCAAGGAATACGTTGCCTTTCTATGTTACATACATTTTGTAGAAACATAGATAATAAAATGATGAAGCATTTTATTGGAAGATTAATCAAACGTATCTGTCGCCCAGTCGCAATTAATATTTCAATTATAAACATTTTTCCAATTGTTTCCCACAAATATCAAGTGCGCGTCACATGCTGATAGATCGATTAAAAAACGAACAAAGCTTCGAGGCTTATCAATTGTTTAGTTTTTGCGGCGATAGTTCTACGTTTCTCAGCGTGGTGAGTTTTTACTGTACTTACGATGTCGACTTTGGGTCTCGCCTTGTGGGAACAGCTGCAGCAAGGCCAGGAAAAGCGAAAACAGTAACATCTTGGGCAGGCTCTGTACAATTATCGAGCTGTTGCTGGGACTAGAAACAAGTTAGCCGCCGATTCGCTCGAATGCCTTCAATCAACTAAGTTTTCTAATTGGCAACCAAGTGCCGCCGACTTGTTTCGCAATTCCATAGTCGTAGTTACCCATAATTTGTAGCTCTCTGCTTGCCCCTTAGCCATCGCCACAGCCCCATTCGAAGCTCGGAAGCTACTCAGGTTCAACGGCGCGCCGCTCAACGATTCAGCATCTACTAACCTGTTATCATTATTTTTGCCGCCGTGTATTTGCCCGGCGTCCCCAGCATTGGCGTCGATGTCGGCGATTCGATTAGCATAATTCAGTTTAGTCGAGCCATATGCACAATTTATTTTATCTTTTTTTTGATACCTATAGATTTTTGTAAATAAACATGACGCTGTAGATGATGACGTCGCTCAAGCGCTGCATCTGGACAGTGGGGGAAAGCCGTAAAAACCCCGACAACAGACTGAGGAGGAGGTTGCGTTTTGCCGGTTGGAGTGACTTTGAAGCTGAAAGCTCGCTGCTATATTTCCTCTTATTTCTGTTGTTATTATACCCTCGATTAGATGGGCTTTACCCGTCAATAAATAAAGAATAATTGTAGATAATTTTCGGGTCTTGCGTATTCATTAATCGTGAGATTTTATTAAGATTTTGAAACAAAACTGTGAAGATAATTGAAGGTTAACGCGTCCTCCTTTTTCGTTGACTCATTCAACATAAAGCTGAACTTTTATTCGAATGACTTGATCGAAAACTTGTCACTTTTGCAGTCCCACCGGAAAATATAATTTATTTTATTTAATTTACGCACAAACTAATCAAAGCTTACTAGCGAGCCATTTAGAAGTCTAGCGTCCAACAAAAAATTGTTTTCCTTAACATTAAAGTGCAAATTTGCTCATGGCTATGCATTTTTAAAATAGTAATATTAACAATACTAGTAATGATATTGCTTTAGATGCATTCAATTGTTTGTTCGTAACCTGAAGTGTGTTTAGTGAAATTTTGAATATAATTATTTCAAAAGTGATTTCATATTTTTCATGATACATCACTCATACGCACCATGGAATGAAGCCGAATCCGTTGTTTGACCTTTTGAGAGCGTCGTTGCTTCACGTTTTCAAGTTCTTCCATTCACTTTCGTGCCACAATTTCAAACCTACTCGTACTTTCTAAAGTTCAATAAAAGAGTTTTGCAGCAAAGACGCTTCCACTTGGGAGTCCAAAGAAAAGAAGAAATCGTGTGGCTGAATTTTCCTTTCGCCCTGTAAATTGCAGCAACTATTTAAAATGCAGGCTTTCCTTTGGCTTTCAAGAAATATTCATTAAGCATAAATGTTCGGCAAGTGGCAGAGGCAAAAAGCGGTAACCAAGAATTTCATAAATTTTGGCGACACACGAAGCGAGCCAGGCAGGCGGCGAGGGCCAGACATTTTGCCAACTAGACAGCCCCCCGACCCCCAGATTTAGACATTTAGTTTCGCAAAATGGCAGGCAGGCAGGCAGGCGGGAAGGCAGGAAGGCAGGCAGGAAGGCAACCAGTCAAGCAGGCAGCTCAACGTTCAACGCTCAATGCTCAACGCTCGACGCTCAAAGGCCCCAGAGCAAAATCTATGAAAATGTCACAGAAGAAAAACCGCACGCACACAAACACAAAAGTTTGAACTTTGAAAGTGGGTGGGTTGACGGGTGGCCTAGGCTGGCGGGGTGTGCCGCGCGGCTGTGGTGGGGGCAGCTTCTTTAGGTGGCTGCAAGCTGCGCTCCATTTGGTTTTTTGTGTGGTCGCCCGCCCCTCTGCCCGCCTTTGCATAAAATGCAAAATATTCAAGCGGCTCAAAACTGTGCGAGCTATGAAAATCTGAAGCCAACTGAAAACAACTGTCTGTTTGAACTGGGCCGTGGCGTGAGGGTTGGCGGGGAGTGATGAAGTGTGGGGGCGTGGCGTTTGCTAGCGATATGTCCGCACGCAGGATACAAAATTTGAAATGTTGCAACGCCGCTGGTCACTCCAACAACTGCAACACTGCCACAAAAAAAAGCATGCCGCTATGAAGCCATTGCAATGGCTGCAAAGGACAAAGGACTGGTCTAGCAAGAATTCCGTCCATAGGCCACAATAGTATACAAATACGTATAGAAAAAAATCAGGACTGGGAGATAAATGATTTATCAGGCTGCGAAATATAATTGGACTGGGCTCTGCTTTTTGATCACCTTCATTAATTTCCGATAGACCATTGAAAACACTCTCCTCCTTCCCTTCCTTAACGTGTCTCTTAAGTCGTTCTGGACAATACCCAGTCGGCTCAAATGGAAGTTGAGTAACCAGTGTCTGGACGAGCGCCGAAATGGCTTCCAAGTTTATTCTACATTCGTTCCATTTTACATTGAAATTGAAATAAATAACGAAAATAAATCGATGCACAGAGTTTAGGTGAAGGGAGACTTTTTAATTTTAATTAAAAACTTGGAAATAAATTGAAAATAAAACAAATTTTGGAAAGATCGCGAAAATCCATTCAAAAAACCAAATAAATTGTTCATTTAAGGGCAGATGGGAATAAAAACATTTTCAGCAAGGTATTATCAGTTCTTTGTCTGTAGAGTGGTGGAAGCAAACAATACTTTGTTGGCCCCCAAGGAACAGACACCAATTATACAAGTACAGATATCAGCAACACTTTCTATTCTATTCCAGAAACGGTTTCTCCTCCTTGGCCAGTCTGAATTCATTATAATACTGCTCGTTATATTATTAGATTGCGCGAACTAACTCTTTTCGTGTGAATATGTGGGGGGGTTAACTTTTTTATGATGATAAATGTGAGTTCCATGTTGAAAGCAATGGCACAATTTGTATCGTCACACTTTATGAATGGGGGCTACATTTGATGGCCGGATGGTAGGTCTACGTCATAAATCGTATCACATTGAATCACCAAATTGCGAAACTCGTGCGGCCCTCACATTTGGAATCGCAGGAATTTTGATAACTCGTATTTCCGCAGCTACTGGGTGTTGTCAATCATTTCAATAGTTTTAAAAAAAATCCCAATTTTGTAAGTGTATCAACAGGCGACAAACGACAAACGACAGACGGCCGACAGGCGACAGCATTTGCCAGCAAACAAGTTGAAACGGAAGTTTTTGTGCCGGCTGCCGTCGTCGGCGTCGGCGTCGGCGTCGTCCTTCTCGCTGTTGTCCTCGCTGTCGGCGTCGACTGCTGCGGCTGCGGCTGCGTCGGCGTTGGCGTTAGCATCGTCGTTGCCTTTGCTTTCCTGTTGCCGTTGCCTGTTTCGTTTTTATTTTAGAGCTCAAAACTTTGGCCAGAGTTTGACTTTCATGTTGCACAAAGGCAGTAAGAGTGCTGGGCTGGCGAGTGGGGCTGTTTCTCCTCGAGCTGGTTTGTGCCGTCGGTCGTCCTTGTAGTGCAACTTTATTGACTGCTTCGGGCCGGCGGGCAGTCAGGAAGCAGAAGCAGCAGCAGCAACAGCAGCAGCAACAGCTCTGGGTGTAACTTGGCAAAAGAGAAGTATCTGTTGCAGTGTCACCAACTTGGTGAGGTGGAGTGGAGTGGGTTGGGACGGGGCGGGAGGGGAGGGGACGGCCGACAACAAACGATAATGAATAATGTTGCCGGCGATAATGTTGCCGCCTGTTTGGTTGTCCCCGGCGGCGGCAACACCAACTGTCGCCCCCCTTACCACTCCTCCTCCACCACCCCTCCCCATTGAGGCAGTCAGCAACATGCTCACTCGCCCGCTTCGAGTGCTGATAAAACATATTAGAATTTACGACAATGCGGGACAGCCCGGACCGCTTGGACTTTGCACTTTTTGCATTGATTCATGCCAACGCACTTACTACTTATGAATAACTATTCAAAAATTCTACAGAAACACCACCAACAACTGCAACAGTAACAGCAACAGCAACAGCAACAACAACAACAGCAACAGCAAACTTTACGATTTTTAATTGAAAATTCAAGCGAAAAGTCCGCCCAGGTGGCACTTGGAACCTGTCCGGCCTGCTGGCAGACCAGCAAGGCAAACAGTTTTCGTTGTTGTTGGTTTGCGTTTTTATAGCCGCGCATAAATATTGTAACAAACAAAAAACACAACAAAAAAAAAATCCAAAAAAATGAAAAGAAAACGTGGGCAGAGTGGCATGCGAATGGGAATGCGCGAAGAAAAGACGAAAAGTAAATAAATAAAAGTTTCCGATTCACTTGAAATAAGCGTGTAATATTTATACTCGAACGCACAAAGGTGACAACCACACACACACACACACACACACATACACACACACACACACATGCAAACGTACAGATATGCTCAACACAATTGCAAACAAGAGAAAAGGCAACAACAGCCATTCAACAATTGATGCTGGAAATGCGCGGAACAGCAAGCAGAAAATGTTTATCGCACGCTAATCACAAATCGCAAATCGGAAATGCGATTATTTTTGCACCCATACACATGCACAGCTCGAGACGCACACACATACACTTGAGCACAACTCCTCGCACACAGGCATGCATTCAATCCTGCCAGTGGCGTAGACTGGAGGTTATGAAGAATTGTGGAAGTACATTGTCGAATCTCTACCCATACTTGTATATGCAAAAAATCGGGAAATTGTTGTTTAGAATCGTGCCACACGATGGCAAAGGTACGCTCAGCTATATAGCTAGATTGTTCAAATGTTTTTTTTTTTTACATAAAGTAGGATTAAACGAACAAAAGGAAAATATAAATCGAAATCGGTTCCAGAAAGTTTTCACAAACACAATTTCGTGCGCTAATTCGAATAATATTTAGTAAAAGTCTATTCCAAGCAGCATACTTATTTATTCGCCCCCGATTAACCATTCACCTTTCATTTCATTTCGAAGTACATGTATTAGCGCACGTTTAATTCGGGGAAGTTGGATATTATTGCAACCAATTCCCCCCCATATGATCCCTTCTCTGCAGCGCCTCTGACAACTGTGCATTCCACACACGCGAGAACAACACACGAACGCACA